AATAATTAAGATCATTGTGGTAATTCTGAATTGATGCTGTATTTGTTACCCTTACTATGTGAATCATTTAAACACATCTCTGATTGGACCAGCTCTAGATTTTAAGTGAATGTGCTTTACAATAGTAGTCATCATCATTTTGTGCCTGAGACTGCTAGGGAGTTGGTGTATACACACATGCACACACACAACACCACACACACACAGACACACACACACATGTGCATGTGCGTATGCAGATGGCGGCGGGGGGGGGGGTGGTAATACTCAAAACTTCTTCAATTTTAATTATTTCAGCTTCCCCAACAACAGTTACAAAATCTATGTGAGGGACAGTGTCAGGCCAAGCAGACATCAAAGCAAGTGACACTGAAATGCAGACAGTATCATTTCTGAGGTAGAAGTGATTTCATTAGGTTAGTACTTTCCTGGTACCTATGAGGTGTTGGAGAGGACTAAGGGACGCTAACAGTCTCCAGGTCTAGGATTAACTGCTCTAGATTTTTCCCTCTCAGTGACCGTAAGGCAGTTCTGAGTAGCTGACAAGGTAAATGGCAGAAGATTCAGTATCTCATCACCACGGGCTGGGTGGAGAGCAGTACCATAGCCCGAGGCTGGATCCACCCAGGTGTGTGTGCACACACTGACAGAGATCTGTACAGGGTGCTGCATCCTGATCACTCACACAATCATTTTATCCTGCATCCCTAAATCTACTAAGCATAGGAATAGTAATTGTTTTTCATACAGCATTGTTAAGCCTTTTTTTGACACCCTCTATATTTCTAAACTGAATTAAATGGCTTGATTAAAATCTAACCTATAAAGACATCTCATTTACTGACAGAGGATCCCAGAGGAGAAATTCAGTTGCATTTTGTTTTCTACACTCAGACTTCAGATGCATTTATAAGGAAAGTACTGCACTTTTTTTTTAACTTTTTCAAACCTTTCAATCTGTTAATTTCACAAGTTGTAAATGTTACCTAAGTGAAACCTTGGCAAGCACTACGGCAATAAGTTATCATTAATAATTGAAACATGATAACTGCTTTAGAGCTTATGGTTCTGGCAGCAAAATGTAATGCTGTTTCTTTTAATAATAGTTAAGCCATATCATCTAAGGTTTCTGGCTTGTTTGAGATGTGAATTTGTTTTATAGATTATAAATATACCTATATAGTGTATGTATAAAGCAAAATGCCTGTCCTTATTGATTATTTTTTGTACCATACTGTAAATTATGTTATTTATTCTTTACCAATTTTGGAAAAAAATGTTTTGGTTATTTAATATAATATACAAAAGCTGTTAAACTTCTTCTGTTTAAATTTCCAATTCAACTTGTAAAGCTGTTTTTATTCTTGTGCATAAATACATACTAATACTTGGTCTAACTTGTGTCCAGTGTGTTCCTTGCTGTTCATGTCCTCTCAGATTTTTTTCATTTAAGCTTTATTTACATGGTCATGGCATTGTGGGAGTTAAGATTCTTCCATAAGGCCAAGCCTTTCAGGGAGATTTGATTGCAGTGAAATCAGTTACCAAATTCCCACTGGCATCTCCCATCCCAGAATTTTGATGATTCTCGCCATGATCAGAGAAAATGCTGGTAGGATTGTTTTTGCTTTATCGCTTGCATTCCCAGTAGTGTCTGCTCATGGTGAGTTTCAGAAATGTGGCAAACCAGAGCTCTGGTTATCATGAATGGCCTGTCTGCGGCCATGGGTACCAGTAACAAGGGGGAGAAAGAGAGAATAGCAATCACAAAAACCACCAGAGAAATCCCAACCACCACCACCAAGAAGGTACAATAAAAATGGTAGTGTTTGTCTTGGGTTTTTTGTTTTTTTTTTTTCATTCACAGTTTGAGATAGGCAGAAACTAGGCTGTGAAGGTTGTATTCAGGCCATCATGTTTTATACAGCCACTACCAGAAACACCTTTTCACCCCAGGACTGAAGAACAGGAAGCCCTGAGAGGGCTGCATAGTCTATCTTCAGAGCTTTCCAAGATGAAACTAACTAAAGCCCATAGAAAGGTGGACTGACCCAGCACACCCTGCTTTGGGCAAGTTGGACTCGAGGCCTGAAGTTCCTGTGATCTAGGTCAGTAACACTTTTAGAATTTTGATCTCTACAACATACAAAAAGGCAGCTTTATTGTTGCACTGAGAAAGTGCAAGTGTGTAATCAATTAGAAATTAAGAATTTTCTAAAAAGCTCAATATAAGTTTTATTAGTATTTTGATACTTCCTTCCCATCCAAGAAGTGCATAGTTACCTGTCCTGCCTGTTTACTGAGAAAATTGGTCTATGACCAAGTCTGAGCTCTTTCTCTGCAGCTTCTCCCCTGTACTGGCTGTGAGCCTTTGTCAGCATAAAAGACCTCTAAATCTTTTCCACCTTCTAATAAAGCTGCTACTGAATCTTCTTTCAAAATTTAGCTAATTTTGCCCTTAATGACCAAAATTTAAGACTGTGAAAACAAAAGGAATGAGTCTGAAAAATTACTAGCAAAACAAGATACTGCAGTGATAGTACATATTTTTCATGATTTTTTGTTAGCTTTATTTGATTTGTTTTTTTCAGTCCTTCAAAACAAAAGCAGCAGTATGCTGCTAAATTTATTCCTCTGAGTTTAATCCTTGACATATCACAGCTGTAGAGCTGTGAAATAAAACCTTCAGCTGAAAATGTTAGCTTGTAATGTTATAGTCAATGAAAAACGGTTAGGCCATGCAAATGCTGGCTTTGCAGGTGCAGCTATACCATCTCTTCCCAATGCAGATTGTCCAGGCAGCCGGTGGCTTTCATATGGCAGTCATCCCATGCTTCAGCCACAGAGCTGTGAGCAAAACATGGACACATGCCAGGCTGCAGAATGGATCACAGCAGCCAGACTCTGCTCAACACTGCTGGCAAACCCCTGTGCACACTGACAAGGCCAGATAAGGTATAGAGGCCCAACACACAACAATCACAGAATTTACCATGTTGGAAGGGACCAGAGTGGGTCATCTGATCCCATTTCCCTGCTCAAGCAGGGTCATCCCAGAGCACATGGTATAGAGCTGTGTCCAGATGGTTCTGGAATATCTCCAATGAAGTAGACTCCACATTCTCTGCAGTGTTCAGTCACTGTACAGTGAAGAGACTCTTTTTCATGTTTGCGTGGAAGTTCCTGGGTTTCAGTTGCTGCCTTTGCCCTTGTTTTACTGGCTGACACCAGAGAGAAGAGCCTGGTCCATCCTCTTGATATTCATATACATTAATGAGGTCCCCTCTCAGCCATCTGTTCTCAAGGTTCAACAGGTTCAGCTCCCTCAGCTTTTCCTCATAAGAAGGATTCTCCAGACCATTGACCAACACTCTGATAGAACTGCTCCAGGAGCTCCATGTCTCTCTTGTACTGTGGGGTCCAGATGTGTAAGCAATGCTCCAACTTTGGCTTCACCAGGGCTGAGCTGAGGAGCAGGATCATCTCCCTCGACCTGCTGGTAATACTCTTTCTATGGCCTGGACAACATTGCCCTTCTTGGCCCCAAGGCATGCAGCTGGTCAGAGACAGATAGCTGTGCACCAGGACACCCAGGTCCTACTCTGCAGCACTGCTGACCAGCGGGTCAGCTCCCAGCCTGCAGTGGTGACCAGGGCTGTTTCTCCACAGGTGCAGGACCTGCATTTCCCCTCGTTAAATTTCAGAAGGTTCTCTTACCCATCTCCCCAAGCTGTTGAGGTCCCTCTGAAGGGCTGCACAACCCTCTGAAGTATCGGCCATGCCTTTGTATCAGCAGTGAACTTGCTGAGGACACATCTGCTCTTTCATCCAATCAGTGATGAACAAATTATACAACACTGAGCCCAACAGAGAGCCCTAGGGGACAACCACTAGTGACAGGTCTCCAGCTTTACTCTGTGCTACTGATCATGGGCCTCTGGGATCTGCCACTCAGGTAGTTCTCAATCCATCCCACTGTCCACTCATCCAACCCGCTTTTCTTGAGTTTGACTATGAGGGACTGTGAGAGAAAAGCAAGGTGGGCAAAGAATTTTGCTTGCTTCCCCAAGTATGGATTACCCGCCACTTGCTTCGCACTTCACAAATGGTACCTGCTCGTTGCTGGAGGATGGATAGAGGATTTCCTTTCTGTTGGATGCTCCTGTCTTAGCGAGGCCAGAGCATGGTCCCACCAGTCTATGTCCCTCTCTGATTTTCTAATACTTCTCAGCCTTTCTAATTTGTCTTGTAGCTCTGCTACCAGGCTGGACAGTTTATCCACCTGGTCTTATCTGATCCAGCTGCCCATCACTGATGCAATCCACTGACAGGCTCAGGCATTAACTACAGCCGGAAGCCTGGGTGGCTACATGGAGTTTTTGCATGTTTTGCATGTTTTTTTGGGGACTTCACTCTGAGACACTGCATCTTTTTTGGTGAGTTTAAGGGACTCCCTTCTGAGTGGGCACCATATATTTGAGTTCTCTCAGCAACTGTAATGACCAGAAAACCGAGCAAACTGCGTGCGCTGCAGCGACCTTTCCTGCTCCATGTCCTGTTCGCTCGCCCGGGTCGCCCGCGCTCCCTGGAGCCGCTTCAAATCTCCCGCTCTGCAACGCTCCCACCGCGCCTGATGGGCTGCCGGGTGCGGGCGGGCTCGGGGCTTGCTGCTCGGGTATCCTCGAACTCGGAAACGCTGAGGTTATTCCATACGATGATCTTCCTTCTGTTTTCTACATTGCATCGCCATATCGAGGTGAAGTCCTCACAGTCCTCTCGACTGTAAGGTCAAGGCACGAACCATATTGCCCTCCGCTAGTACAGCCCCACCCCGTCGCCTTAAATGCCCACCCGCTGCTCGCCCCGCCTTTCCGCTAGCCAATGGCTGTGCAGTTTCTTCTGACAGACGGGCAGTGCAACCAATAGAAGGCATCCAGCATGCGCGCCGACGCGGGTCGTTTTAAGCTTCCCTCCCTCTGCGAGGCTGGCCGAACAGGCGGGATCTCGAGCGAATGAACTGCGTTCGATAGGCTGCCCGTCACGATGGGCAGCCAAATAGGCCAATGGCCGAGCAAGGCGGGGCGGCCGGCTCTCCCCGCGGCGCGGTTGGAGCGGTGTTGTGGTGTGGAGCTGCTGAGTGCCACCATGTTCCAGGGCGCTGAGGCTGAGGCGGCCAAGCCTAGCTCCAGGTGGGGTGGTGGGCGACGCTTGGCGGGGCGAGGGGAAGAGTCGTGCGGCGGCGCGGAATCCTTGGCGGGGCTTTGTTTGGACGCGGGAGCTACGGGCTCCAGCTGAGGGCCGTGAGGGAAAGAGGGGGGTGGGTCGGGATGTAGGTTCTGGCGGAGGAGATTGGGGCCCCCGAGGGGCCTCCTCGCTGCGGCGGGCGGAAACGGAGCCCCATACTTCCCGTACCGCCGGACAGAAGCCAGCGCGCGGCTGGTGTCTTCGCCGTCCCTCAGTTGACTTGTCCCGCGCCCCGGGGGCTGGGCGGGGAGTGGCCGCACTGCGCTGCCGTCGGTGCTGCCTTGGGCTGAGGCCATGCTTGAGGCGCACGAGGAGAGCCCCAGGGCTGCGGGGGACACCCACGATTGCCGTGCCCAGCCTGACCCCAGAGCTCCTGCAAGGACTCTAGGGCGGGGAGAAGGGCCCCGCGCTGGGGAGCACCTTGTCCCGCCGTGTTTCTGCTCACGGGGAGCGAGGGGCCCCAACTACTCTCTGTGCACAAACGCCTGCAGAAGCAGATTGTTTTCGCCCTGCGAAGTTGAAATATATTGCTTTGTTTGGAGGAGGGCCGTTGCCCTGAATATTGCAGGGCGTGAGTGCAGTGATTAATCCATCTGCGAGGCTGTCGCGTGCGGGAAGGAGGAAGGGTTTCGAAATTGTCTTAAGAGCGCTGTAAGTTTTCTTGTATTTCAGTCGCTCCAAAATGTTACATGGTTTTAGAAGAAGACTTTTGAGGATGCTCTGTCCTTGGTGTAGTCTCTGAGAAGTGTCAGTTTACATAGTAATTTTGAAATTACGTTTAACGCATAAATTGGGTTTCCGGGCAGACCATTGCAACGTGTTAGTTAACAGCGAGCAAAGGTGGCCTTATAGCTTCCTCCCTGTTGCCGTGTCGGGGAGTGTTTGTGGTGCCTGAGAGCAGAATGGAACCCCTCACAGCTCTGTACCAGAGACGGTGGCAGCACCGCAGGAACTTCTTTTAGCGGGTTTGCAATGTGGTCTCTGAGGTGTTGACTATATCGACTCATGGCCTGTGCCATCAAGGGCAAAAGTACCTGGTCTAAAGACACAGCTTATTCTATTCATTCCCTGAACAAAACGTTGTTTAGTGAGAATGCAAATTCTTTTGCAGTTCTTGGTACATAGAAGTTGCTCTAATTAAAATCTGAGCCTAATTCCAAATCCCTGCAGCAACCACTACCAGCTGTGGAAGTGGGGGAAAAATGTCTTCCTAATGTGAAAATCTTGCCTAGAAAATTATAAACAAGTGTTTGCATTTTGAGAATTTCATAGTACAGGGGTATTACATTTAGAAGTAAATCATGCTAAGAAGATCTTAAGTGAAAGCTTTCGCTTAATTGTCTAGTGAAATGTGTTTCTAGTGATTCTGTAAATGACCACAGTGATAGAGCAAGCAACTAGTTTGCTGAGCTGAATTAATTGCCTAGTTTTATTTTATTAAACTTTTAACAATGACACGTTGTATTTTTAAGCAAGTTTTTCTTTTTTAAAATAAAACCTGGTACTACACATCTAAGAGCTTCTAAAAGCAAAGCAGGACAGAGTTGTATCATTCTGCTATTGTGCGCTATAAAGATGGATTGTATTAACATACACTCCATTTGTCCTGTGTATGAGCAGTTTCACAGCTACTGCAGAGAGCTGACACTGGTAAATTTAACCGTCTTGGAAATTTAATACTTCTGTTCCTTTACTCTCATCGGGGCCACTGTAGAATATCTTGGAGCTTTCAGATCAGGAACATGGCTGCATAACACAGCTTGCTGTTCTGTATGTGATTGAGCTGTTTGGTGAGCCACGAGTCCTATTGATCCCACTGCAGGAGTACCCCAGGACCTCTGGTCTTGTTTTAGAGCCGGCAGTTCCAAACCTCAACACCTGCTTTCTGCTAGTCTCTTATGTGTAATGCAGCAATTATCTACTGTATTAGAACAGTCTGAAAACTGGTAAAACTTCAGTGTTTAACTTTCAGGCAGGATTAAGAAAAAATTATGTAGAGGGCATCTTGAAGTAATGAATAAGCCTTCCATAGGTTGACTGAAAGGCTTAATGAGGAAAAGGTATTCAAACTGAAGTGTTTCAGAATGTAGGGGATAAAAAAAAAAAAAAAAAAAACAACAAAAAACAACAGAAAAACTAATTTAAATTCTTCCAGTCTGCCAGAAGAGAAAAAGGCAATTAGTGGGGGCTTTTAAACTTGCAGACCAGGGCTCTTGATTTAGCTGTTTTAGAGGAGTTCACAAACTTCTGATCTGCTGGAGGGGAGGGAGAGAAAGGCAGATTTAGGTTTTGTAGGAGACAAAGGGTTGTTTTTTCACCGTTTGACAGAATAAAGCAACACCTTCCCAAAGGAATACATACCTGACTACAAGAAAAAAAAAATACATAAACTGGCGTAATACTGATGTAAACTAAAATGACGATAAAGTATAAACTAAAGTTACTATACAGTATATGTGAAATTTCTGTGTACTCTATTGGAGCAGCTCATCTTGGCTTGCTGAGTTTAGAATGCTGTTTTCCTTTGGTAGGATTTACAGATGAAATCTGATTTTCTTACTTGGTGTGGGGGACCTGCATGTCTCACAGCTTTAGAACTGAGTACGTGGTAGTACAGGGAGGCCAGCAGTGCTCTAGAGGCTACACAGAAAGAAAATAGCTTTGTAGTCTCCCACATATTTGGTTGGAGGGAGCAAGTGCAAAGCCCTCTCTTCTTGTTGGCATCAGCTGACAGACGTTGTTGCTTCAAGGTTATTTTGACTTTTAACCTTTTAACTTCAAGGTTATTTTTGGTAAGTCCTATCAATGACTTAGTTATCTGACTTTGTATTAGTTCAAATTTTATTAACCTGGTGTCACTGCCATTTGAAAGTTTATGTAATGCTTGGAAGGTTCCCAGCATTTCAAAGTTCTTGAAATTGAGATGGTAAATCCACTTTGTGTATGTAGAGTCATTATTTTGTGTGATGCTGGCAGAAAAGGTACTTGTGCTTTCTACCTTGTAAGTACCACCAGTGATGCCTCTGGTTAAATTATTCAACAGTAGGGTTTTCAGCTACTAAGCTGAAAATAAGAGGACAGTATAAGATTAATCAGTGTTGGATTTATTTTGATGAAGTTTCTTTACTGAATTATCAAGACTTTTAATCTTAAAATGGATTTTCTCTAGAATTTCTTTCTGCAATAGTTCTTAAAACCCATTGCAGGAATGAGAAGTAATTTGATTCTTATAACTGGCTATTTTTCTTTTTAAAAAATCTGAATTTATTTATTTTATTATTCCCTCCTATGCTTGTAGGCATGTGTTAAGTGACCAAACAGTGTGGTAAATTGAATGAATCTGGGCTGTAAGAGACTCCAGCTGTATAAACAGCTTTTTACTTCCTTTCAGTCTCTTTTCTGGTATACTTAGTGTAGTTGGAATGCAAGAAAGACTAAATGCAATTTAAAAATAGCTGAAAAGAATAGGTAAAGTAAAAAATAATTTGTGATAGGAGTCCACTTTAACAGAGACCCCTTTCCAAACTGCTTTTTTGTGGAGTTCCATCTTCTTTGTCTCCCCACTTTAAATACTTAAACTGCCTCATGGTTTCTGGACCATTGTGAATGTTTGAAATACAGAATTTACCTATACAATGTTTGCTTTAATTGTGGGTTTAAGTCTCCTAAAATAAGTGGAGAGCACAGAGGCTAGTTGGATCTGTAGTCTGCTGGACACTAAATTATAAATAAATAAGCTTTGTAAGATCTAACCTGTACTTTGGACAAGGAGTTGTCCTGTCTGCTGGAATTCTAGTTACTCCTTAAGCTAAAGGCATTTATTAAATCCACAATCATACTAAGAATTAAAATATTGAAATTGGCCAGCGAAGACAGTCCATCTGAGGCTAGTACTGTGTATATAAACTATTCCCAGACTAAAAGAGGAACTTTTTTCTCCTTCCCAAAAGACCTAAAACTGTGTTCTGCATCTTAAGATCTGAAATGCACACAAACCTCATTTTCTGACAGAGCAGCCAAAATCTCTACTTTTGTGAAATTAAATCTTAAACTGGAGTAGATCTTGGCACCAAGAGGTACCTCATTTTATACTCGGTGTAGCTCACCTGTAATGACATGCTGCTGTCACAGGGCTAGGCAGAGGAGGGATTGTAATAATTCACTGACATTTGAATTGTGTTCAGGTAGGGTGGGATCAAGATCTTGCAATTTATAGCTGTTCTTTGATATAAAAGCAAAGGTTACTTTAGGTTCCAGATCAAGGGTTAAGATTAGAAGTAGTATAATTGAGCTGCTACCTTTGTTCAGCTGCTAAGACTGTGGGTAATTGGTAGATGTAACTGTAAAAATTATTTTTGATACAGAATTGCAGAATCATTGAGGTTGGAAAAGCCCTCTGAGATCATGGAGTTCAACGTTTGATTGCTTGTCACCTAGACCAGGGCATTAAGTGCCACATTCAGTAATTTTGTGAACACCTCCAGGAATGGTGACTCTACCACTGCCCCGGGCAGCACATTCCAATGTTCAACAATCCTTCTTGTGAAGAAATTCCTCCTGATGTCCACTATGCCCTCTCCTGGCACAAATTGAGGCTGTTTCCTCTTGTCCTATTCTTTGCTCCCTGACAGCAGAGCCCAAACCCCGCCCTGGCTGCAGCCTCCCATCAGGGAATTGTGGAGAGCCAGAAGGTCCCTCCTGAGCCTCCTTTTCTCCAGGCTGAGTACCCCCAGCTCCCTCAGCTGCTCCTCACCAGACTTGTGCTCCAGACCCTTTCTCAGCTCCATTCTCTTTTGTGGATATGCTCCAGCCACTTAACGTCTTTATTGTCATGAGGGGCCCAAAACTGTCCCCACAATTTGAGGTGCCTCAGCAGTGCCCAGCAGAGGTTACTCTCCTGGTCCTGGTACAGGCCAGGATGTTACTGGCCTTCTTGCCCACCTGGGCACACCCAGCTCATGTTCAGCCACTCTCAACGAGCACTCCCAGGCCCTTTTTTTGCTGAACTTCTTTCCGGCCATATTTAGGTATTAATCTCTTTCCTGTGCATTTTCTGTTAATTTTCCAATCAATTTCCACTGATTCTACTCCCAAATAATAGTTTGGTTCCTTTTTGGGGTGGAACCTGTAGTCTGTTGAACAGGACCTAGGCATTAACTATGCAATTACTACTGAAGGACAAGCATGACTTACGGTAAGTTTTCAAGAAGTCAGATGATTTCTGCTGTAAGCTCTAATTTTTCTGCAGATCCATTTGATATCCTCTGGTGCAAAGCTTTAGTTTTAATGGATTTGCAGCCTGACCACTAAAGAATTGGTTTGTTGTTTTGTCTCTCCATTCTAATCTAAACAGCTATTATGATAACTGATGGTTGAGACTAGCAAATCTTTTAGTAGTTATGAAATGTCTGCCTTTATTTAAAAGTCAGTGGGTTTCAGTTGTATCACAGATTCAAAGTCGGTATGTGCAGTTTAGCAGAAAGTCTGATTCTGTAATGGTTATTTTTAAAATCCTGACCATCATATGGCTTCTCTTAATCTCTGTTGTTTCTGGAACACCACAGATAGCATAGCCATTTGTGTAGGTGGCAGTGTTAGGATCATTCCATGTAATCATAGATACCTTAATGATGAAGTTGACTGACCAGGAGGTTGGCAATATTTGTGCTGAACTTAAGAATATTAAAACAGCTCTTGAAAAGTAGATACTTCATGGGTATAGCAGAATTACCTAAAGTAAGTTAAAATCAGGATAGTTACATACAGGGAGAGAATGGGAAGGGGATATCAAATATGTTGAATGCTATAAATTTTAAATGAACTTTTGTATCTTGTTTCTTCTGTGATATAGGGTACTGAAGCCCCCAGGGGGAGATTCTAGTAATCTCTTTGGGAGTACAGAAGAAGTGTCTTCTTCAAGCAGGCCACACCGGATGGCATCCAGTATCTTTGGAGCCTCAGAAAAACCTCAGAACATTCCAAAAAGAACAAACCCTCCAGGTAAAAGCTGCTCCCTCTTTCTGTGTGGGCTGTGAATTGCAGCATAGAATGTTTTGTGCTCCTAAACTGGAACACTTGGATCTGTCTTTTTATGTTGCATTCTTGTATATACTGAGTAGGTTTGAACAACAAATCTCTTCAAACTTCTGAATATATGAATATTTCAGTGATCTGCATGTTTGCAGACTTTTTAGCACATTAGTCAAGTCTTAATTCTTTCCAAATTGAGGTTCTAAGAAATGGTGAAAGGAAACCGCTTCTGTTGTAGAGTTGTCAGCAGTTAGCTCATTTTGAGACCTGCAGGTGAATTGTAGCAAAGGATTTCATCTAGGCAAATACAACTAAGTCCCTAGGCAGCAGGGTTGTAGAAGTCCTTGAATTACGTATTTAATTTTTTTTTTAATATAGTGTGATAAAACTAATCTAGAACAAAATTCTTAACAACTGCCTTGCAGGAGGAAAAGAAAGTGGCATTTTTGAGGACTCTAGTTCTGCTCAGCCTCGTCCACGCTTGAATCCACCTGGTGGGAAGACAAGCGATATCTTTGGGTCTCCTGTCTCTCCCAGCATTGTGCGAGCACACCCGAACAAACCCAAGGTATTTTACTAATGTTGCTGTCAGATCAAGAAGAAGCTTCAGGGTCCTGTCGTGCTCTGTCATGTGCCTGTGCTCTCCATAAGAACAGAACTGAATATATATGGAGTGACTTTGAGTTAGACAGTCCCAAAGTCTCTTTGATAGCTTGTTATTTTGGGTGTATTAGATCTCTGCAGTTTGTTGTAAAAGTATTAATTAGACTGTGCATGTGCATTTGAAAAAAAAAAAAAAAAAAAAAGAAAAAAAGTCTTTGATCTTTCTTGTGAGTGAGGTACAGCTGGAGCTCTTGACAGAGCCAAGAGGCATTTAAACTGCATAGGGAGGAGATATTTCTCCTGATTCTGCAGTTTGGCAGGTGTGATCTTGATGCAGACTTGGGAAGTTGGTGAGCTACAGTCATAAACCTTTGTAAGGCCTGGCTGTGCACTTCAGCTGTCTTAAATACATGTATCTACAGTCACCTTGAAAGCACTTCAGCAGATTAGGCTTACAGTGATCAACAGTGAAAAAGTGAACTTTGGTTCAGTGGTGTCAGGCCCAGCGGGTACTTGATTTGTACAAGATAAACAAAAGTGTCTCTTAGTATAGTGTTACAGTTGTTACATATAGGTTATACAGTTGAGTTTTGATCTTAAAGCTGGGATGTGTAATAGTTCCTTGTAGTTATGACCACATCTGAGTTTGGAAAAAGCAGGATACATTATCAGTTACTGTATTTAAGTGCCCTATATGCAGATTTACCACCTCCTGCCTTACTCTGAGTAAATACTAATAAATGAGTAGCTATTATGGTGATAATATTTTTGGCATGTCAAATAGCATGGAAATTTAACATTCTATGAAACTGCTGTGGTTTAGGAATGGTATTCCCCAGTTTAGTGTTCCTGCTGAAAACACTCCAAAACATGCACCACTCATGCTCCCCTCCCCCTTCCCCCTGTGGCTGGGGGAGGGAAATTGGAGGTAAAAACCATGGGTTGAGATATGAACAATTTACTGGAAATAGCAATGAGATAAGAAAAGAACAGTAACAGCAACAAAATTAATAATGGAATGTACAAGAATGATGAATACACAAGGGTTCACGTGTGAAGTCTCGCCACTTGGAATGCAGCACTACCCGAACTGCTCAGCCACCACCACCCACCCCACACCCTGCACATGATGTCGTTTAGAATAAGCTTCAGGTCCTGGCCTTGCCCTCCCTGGCTACTGCAAAAATTAACCTCTGTACTAGCTGGAACCAGGACAGAAATTGTGCTGGAAACAGTCTTGTTTTTCCTGGAAACTTAGGAAGAAAGGATCAATCCAATTTAGCTTTCTTGCCTTTGTTTTTTTTCCCCTTAAATTTAAGGTGTTGGTATTGTGGGAGATACAGAGCTGGAAAGAAGACCTGTGAGTTGAGTTTCATGGGTGGGAAAACACACTTCTCTGAAGTGTGGCTGTGTATTTCCAACAGTCAGTTCAGATTGTTGGTGAAATGGTCTTAAATGTTTTGATTATTACGTGACTGTGGGGATACTTGCTGAAGAGAGGAATTACTGCATACAAATAGGGTCTTCAAAGGATGTTTGTGTGTGTATTATAGTTGTGTCTACCAACTTCTGCGTGATAGAAGGTACTTGAGAGGAATGGTAATTCCTGTCCTTAAAATCAATGAATCCTTAAGGTTGGAGAAGGCATCTAAAATTGAGTCTGGCAGTTAACCCACCACTGTTGTGCTTACCATTTTGATGATCTAATGTAGCGTCTTCATCCATGTTTCAATGAATTGTCTTGAGATGTACACCTTGCCATTACATAGAAGATTTGTGCCCCTGCTTTTGGGGTTCTATAGAAGTGGAGGGGATGAAGGGCTGCACACAGCTTGCTTTTATTTTATAAGTGATCTATAAACTTGGAAATGAAGCAAAATTTCCAGAAGGATTTCACGACAGACTTGCTGTTTGAGAACAGTAATACACTAAGATAGTTTTTGATTTCTTTGCAGGATCACATGGTCTTAAAAGAAGAGGAAATACCAAAGAAGCTAGAAGGTCAGGAAGAGAAATTCTTGTCTTTGTTCTCTTTGGGAAGATAAACTATGAGGAATTTTCTTGTGCTTCTGCTTAAACACTAGCCTTAGTCTCATGTTTTTAGGATAATATGACTGAAAAGTTTAGTCAGAAGTCTAATCACTTGTCTCAGGGAAATGGTTTTCTTCCTCTTATTGAGGAGAACACAAGTGTGAGTCATGGTACTCCATGTCTGTGAGTTTAGACTTTGCTTGATACCATGTGTATGTCGATATACAAATATGTATGGAATCTCTATATGGCAAAACATCTTACCAGGTTGCCACTTCCTCTCTTGCTTCCTTCAAATGGCTAATTTTGGCCTTCTGTAGTTGTAAATAATGAACAGCTGACTGACAAAATTTATTATTGCTCAGCTAACTGTTAAAGAATGAATGAGAACCCTGCTTTCAAGCTCAGTATGCAAAGATTGATTGGTACCTTGTATCTTTTAATTTCCTGCAACTGCCAAAATAATTCTGAAGGCGTATTGCTCAGTCTTTATATCCTTAGAAAGGATATGGAAGATTAGAAAGATTGCTGAAGGAAGAGAGGAATTGTTGAGAAAAGTGAAATTCTTTTCTTACTACATGTTTCCTTCTTAAAAACATGAATAGGTAATGAGAAATCTTGGTGTGCTATGGATGGGAGATGTGGGGAAAAAATGCAGCTGACAGAAGATGAGGTACTTTGTGCACTACAGAATCGTGAGTGATCTGATGATATGTTTTCTTTAATGTAGCTACAGAAAATACCAAACCACAGCTGGAAGACGGAGGCGAGAAAAAAGCTCTGGGCAAAGAGGAGCAATGCAAGGAGCCAGAACCCAAGATAGACAATCACGAACCGCGACTAGGGCCAAGGCCACGCTCACACAATAAAGTCCTCAATCCGCCAGGGGGGAAATCCAGCATTGCGTTCTATTAGGGTCATCGTGTCACTGTCAGTAATGGAGAAAGTCTTGTCTATGCCGGTGAGGTCAGTTTATACACTATTGCTTGTGAATAGATTCTTAGGCAAATGGATGAGGGTTATGTTAGAGCATGTAGGAAGGATAACCTGGTGATTTGGGGAGGGAATGGGTGCCTTGTGGAAGATGTGAGTACTGGCCTGCCTGGGTGGGTGGCAGAGCCAGACATTAGTGTAACTTAGTGAAAAATCAGTGCTACTTAGTGGTAAGTTCCTCAGACTGTTAGGTTCTTAGCTAGCTTGTGGCTCAGGAGGCTCTTGTGGAATCAGGCTTCCATATAGTCAACATGTCAAACATTGTGATTGGGAAGGGCCTGAAGGTTGCACTTGAAGCTTCTGAAGTAAAGCAGGTAGGCTGGGCTTTCCCCTAAGCAATGGGATGCAGCTTCCAGCGTGAGCTGACTTGCAGTTATATGAATATAAATATGTTCCACAGGAACAAGTACTGCTGCCATGGTTAAGAGTGTTTTCAGTCATTGCTTTTTTTTCTCCTTTCTTGCTTGCAGCACATGATTGCTGATACAAGGACAAAATATGCAAAAAAATTTTTTTATACTCATAAACAATCATATGTTTGTAAAGACTGTGGTCTTCCCCTGTCTAGGTATTCAGGTCTTTTGGATGCCTTTAGTTATTTGCTGATTACTGTGACTAGCTCTTCACATGTGGAGTCCAACTTGCTGTTTCATGTAGGTGCTTCTAGTTGAGTGCTTGTATGTTTTCTGGTAAAGATGTGGGTGCAAACAATAGCTTTATGGTACTCTTTGAACAGAGGCAACTTTGAAGTTTACCACAGAGCATAGGCTGAGGTGTTAGCCAGGTCACTCTGACCCAGCCTTTGTAGAAAGAGCTTAGCTTCAGCACATGTTTTCACTTGGCTCCCTGTGGAAACCAGGACAGTTCTCCTGTTTCCACCACAGTGAATTTCCTGTTGGTTTTGCCTGTGCTGAGTCTGTTAGTGAATTCTCCTGTCTTTCATCAGCCTTACCTTTGCCTTTGTCTCAGATTTTTGTTAAGAAAACTATGTAAGTTCTCCCCAACCTAGAGCTGTAGTTGATTTTGCTGTAGATTATCTTAGTTGGAAAATCAAAGACAGCACAAACAGAGGGTTTGTATTACTAAAATCTGTCATAAATCATGTTTGGAAGATGTGCATGTTTTGCACAGATGTTTTTGGGGGAGGGTTTGTTCCCTGAATTGATTGATGATCCTATCCAGAGCTTTGATACATGAATGTTAACTCTAGGTGCTTACTGTTAAATATATTGAATACTGCCCTTTTAAATCTGACATATCAAAACATTTCTTGCATTTCTTTCTTTGGAATCTAAGTAATGTTTTCAGCCCCGTCAGGTACACCAAAGAACAAGTGGCCTTACTGTGTATATCCACTGCTGTTCTAGCCCACAGTCCTTGGGAACTGCTGCCATTGAGACAGGATGGGCCAGCTGCTAAACCTTTCTGTGATTGTAATGCTTCTTAGGCCGCACAATTCCCTTGTGTCAGCAGCGGTGGGTGAGTGCTTTAAGACTTAGCTGCCTTTTCAAATAGTGAAACATATGGGGCAGTGCTAGGATAGAAACAGCCATGGAAAGTAGGGATTTGAATGCCTTTGTACCTTTCAGATTGGTTTGGAGCTGCCTGTTAATTTTCCCCCCAGGAAAACAAGGCAGTAGTTCAAACTGCAACCATGGAATGAACTTAAGTTAGTTCCAACTATGTACTTCTTAGCGCCTCTTCCTGAGTCTCTGCTCTCCAGCCTCTGGCTGAGTCTCAGACACATTAGCCATTTCAGTTCCTTGTTCCACTACTTGACAGGAAGCTGTCATATAGAAAAGTCAACCAAAGGCTGCTTCCTACATTGCAGGCTGTGGTGTAGCTGATGGTATCTGCAATACCAAGCATTTGGCATCTTTTATTTAGTACCTGATGTGCACTGGCTTCAGTGCCTGTCCTTTAAGGAGCAACTTCTAACTAGGCCTTAAATTAGTTACATTCTGTTAAATTTCTTGCATTTCTTTCTTTGGAACCTAAGCAATGTTTTCAGCTCTTCAAGTAAGGTAGATCTGAGAATTTCTCTGGGACAGAAGGGGATTTGGAATCAACTGACAGAACATGCAGTTACCAATAAACAAGTATTTTGTCACTTCATTGTGTGCTATAGATGCCTGCTTTTATAAATTGGTCAGTACTCTATTTCACCATAGATACACTGGTGAATTTTATGGTCTGAAATGGGAAAAATTGCACATATATTTTCCAGCTTTCCATACATGGGACTGTACTCAGGAGCTGTGACATCCTGCCCAAGGCTGCACATGAGACAGATGCCTCTTATCCCTGGGGAGTGGTAGGACAGTAGCAAGAGCTCAGCTTAATGCCTTTTTGTGGGCAGCATTCCATGATGTTCTGTACCACACTGGGATTCTGCTATGTTCTTCAGCAATATTGTAAATATAATTAGATATTCAAATATTTTAAATAGTTAAGGCTATTTGTAGAAAAACATAGTAATTCCCCTTGAACGAGTGATACTCTTTATGTGGAGAAGTCATACCCTCACTTGTGTGTTTCTAGTGAGCGCATAAAACACCCTTCATGTACCAGACTGCCTTGGCTGACAGAGGAGGGAACTCCAGCTACTACAGACATTGCAATTCTGGGTGAGATGGACACAGTGACCTCTCAGCCAGGATGTTGTGTGTCTGCGGCATTCATCCCTGAACTTCCAGACTGTAATGCTCACAGAGCCTCTTGGCCAGCCCTCACTCAAGAGTGACTTCTATGTTTGGCCATTTACAGTTCAGAACTCTCCTCTGAAACATATACAGTTTGGGTGGGATCTGCATAGTGTGAGAATGTGGCAATGTCCTTGATAAATAGCACATTAGCAATGAAGTAGTTTCTTTCCTTTGAGCTGCAGCCAAGAGTAGACAGCAGTATAGCTCTAGTTTGCAACTGTGTGTGTTACCTCATTGCTTTCCCCAAAACTGTCGGTTTGTAGCTAAACACTTGGGATAGAATGTTATCGGAGTTGTTGCTTCAGTCTGGGAAGGAAAATTATGGTGTCCATAGCGAGCTTAGCCTAAGAAGTGGTTAAAGGAGGATTTTGCATGCTTTAGTGAGTCATGTGTGGTTCTACGCATATGTGTTGCTTAGTCCCTAAATATGTCACTGTGTCTGTCCTGAACAAGAGCTCACAGCTCTAGTGAACTGGCCAGCTGCAGTGTGTCATCCCTTCTGATCCTCATGTGTACCAGTTAACCCAGATCATGCATGTTTTTTCCCTGTGAAGACTGCTGGCTACTGTACAAAACCTTTTAAGTTGGCACAGTCTGATACTGTCCATCTGTTGCATCACACCCTGCATTGCACTTTCAATGAAGAAGATTAATGTCCTCTCTGTTGGTGTTTTAAGCAACATTATTGTGAGTTTTTTAAATTATTTATAATGGCTAATTAGACTTGGAATATCCAAAGTACATTCTTGGGGCTTGTCTAGTGAGAGAAGATATATAAAGTAGTGATGTGTGGAGACAATTATTTAAGCACTAAATGAGTAACTTCTGTAGTATGTTCCCTGGAAGGCTGTACAATATGATCACACTGGTGTATGGATGTCCAAGTATCTTGGCTACCTGGGTGATTGTGTATTGGAGTTGGCCACCCAGTGAATTTCAGCATGAAGTTTTGCTGAAACCATGTATCACTTCCCTTTGGAAAAGGTGATGGATTAAATGTCATTGAGACTGGAATTTTCCATTTTTTCTTAAGGCGCAAAGACAGGTCACAGCATCCTGGCTGGGGGAGATTTGGTCACATGTAAGCTGTTTCTGTCATTACTGGTTATCAGCTGTGCAAGAAGTAGACTGGGTAACAATTCATTGCTGGCCAAAAACTGATGCCTAGAAGCCTCCCAGCAGGCTAAGCTGGCTGCCTAGGCTCTGCCCAGTCGCCACTCCTCCTTTTGAACACAGTTGATGAGCAGGAAGAGGCAGATTTAAATTATTGGGCTAAATTAGTAGCCCTGATTATTTTTGTAGTTTTATCTTGCTTCTGGGAATTAACACAGTCTCATGTTGAATTTGCTTTCCCTTTCTTTCAAGTTCCTTATATTGCTAGCTGGACAACCTCTTCTTCCTCAAGCAGATTGAAATACTCTCCATAGCCAGCAAGAATGCAGGAATTTGCATTACTTATCAGCCTCTCTAGGTCCAGCTGCCTTCTAATTCTGGTGTCTTACCCACTGCTTTCATCCTTCCTCCTACATATACAGACATTAGAAGTAGTAGCTGTGCTGCCTTTGGCTTCTCCGTGACCCCTCCTCTACTGCTGCTTGGGTGTGTGCTATGTGCCACTTAAGCCAAAACCACAGACTGCTCTGTGTCCAGGTGTATCAGAAGCACAGGGGCCTGTTGAAGTAATGGGAACTTGTCGTTATGCCAGGTTCTTCATGAAGATCATAAAAATGATGGCTTTTTCTCCACTGTCTTGTCCCGCAGACTTATATAAATGTGTGCTCTACTGTGACACTGTTTAACGTCCTGGCTGCTGGGAGCATGCGCTTGGGCATGAAGGGCAACACAAGTCCAAGTGTGAACTGCCTGCACTATTGTCCACTTTCAGGCTTCAGTCTGTATTTTGCAAGTCTCAATGCACTGTGTGCAGTTTTGGCCTGCCTAGTACAAGACAAATGTGATTTAGGGAATGCAGTGATGGGCCACAAAGGTGATAAAGAGACTGGAGCATCTGTCACAGGAGGAGGGGCTGAAAGAGCTGGGGCTGCTCAAGAAGGTTCGGGGAGATCTGGCCAGTGTGCTCAAGTCCCTGCTGGGAGGAAGCAAGGATGAGGGGGCCAGACTTTGCTGTGGACAGGAGGCAATGGGAAAAAGAGAAACCACACAGAATTCCATCTGAACACAAGGATGTACATTTTTCCTGTGAGTGGTCAGATACTGGGACAGGTGGCCCAGAGATGCTGCAGAGTCTTAATCCATGGAGATGTTCAAACTCTGCTCTGTACTCTGCCTTCTGCTCCATGTTGATTCTTTAGGGTTATTTGTTTGCTAAGCAAAGATGCCAGGCTTGCAGAGCTAGTGACTTCAAACTGTGACTGTGAAACCTGCTCAGCAGAAACCCAGGGCAGCAGTAATACGCCATCCAGATGTAGGTGTGTAGCCACAATACACCCAGCTACAATTGGGAACTCACAGTAGCAAAGGAGTAAGTGATTTTCAGCCAGCTGGTAGAGACCAGCAGGGGCACAGACGTGAATGCCAAGAGAGTGAAGACTGGCAGAGTCAGCATGGCACAGACAATAGCAAGGACACCTCAGTCCAACACAGTGGTGGTGAAGGGAATGAACAGAAAATCCCTTCCAGGGGACCCTGCTTCCCATGGGTCCTAGTGGCACATGGGGCTGCGCAGAGTGGGCTGGCAGGAGTGGCAGTGACACGGCATTTCCTTGGCTGTTAGCAGTGTAGCAGACCAGCTGTTCTACCTCTTGCATAGGCTTCTGAACTGAGAACTGAAGTGTTAGTAGGTGTCCGGCACTCAAGCAAAACCACAGGTTTTAACAAAGGGGAAGGGAAAACATCGTTATACCATGATAATTACGGAAATAAGGAATGAAAGCTGTTTGACAAAACAGGGCCTGATTGCATGAAAGTTGTCCTTTCCCACTTGCAAAGCTTATCCCAGTCCTTTCTGTTTCCGTCTCAGGCTTCCCAAAACACTCAGCCATATACCACAGGTTGATGCTACCATAGCGCAATTACAGGACAGAGGTAAAAACAGGGGAATGTTACTTCTTGTAATTTAAGTCAGGTTAAGGTGCGTCTCGCAGTTTGCAAGGATATAAAGGACTCCTCGTTCAGCCACAACAGGTGAAATTCTGTTTGAGGGGGCTGTAGCGGACATTTCAAAAAATCAGGAACAAGTTATCAGCAAGTGCTTCATGTTTTGGGTACTCACAATTAATATGCCAACTGCTACAGAGAGAATGAGGGAGCTGTCGTATACTGCCCCAAAAATGTAAGCAGCTGCCTCCTGATTTTAACCAGAATATTTATCCTGGATAAACTTGCTTAAAATAAAATGAAGCCAAGAAAATAAAATAATTAGCGTTCTTGATCTGGTTATTTTGATAGAAAGTAAGTTTGAGCACAAGCATATGGGCAGGAAGGGTTTGAATGAGAGGACTTGTAAACAAGGTTGGTTCTGTCTGCTTTCTAGTACCAAGCCCTTGGTGGTTTACTTTCTTTTTAATTAATGCACACCACAGAGGAGCTGGTATTTTCAGACACTTTGAAGACACTTCAGCAAGTGCAGAGTGAAACTGCAGGTTAAAGTGGAGCATGTGTTTCCTGTATCAGCACAGCTCACAGCTGCAGCATGTCCAAACTACATGGGTGAAGTTTTGGCATCCTCTTTTAAGAGGCTAAACGCCCGATCTGTTAAAGGGGGTGAATGCTGAGGGGCAGGACCATGGTTTAAAAATAATATAGCAGCAAGAAAAATTTATATTGAACATCTACATTTGAGAACTACCAGGAATTGCACAGGAAATTCCTTTAAGAAGACCCTGGTTACAGCAAAAAAAAAAAACAAACCAAAAAAACCCACCCTGTCAAATTGTTAGGGACATGCAGAAATTTTATTAAATTTCCTCAAATTCTTTATAGAATTTACAGTAATTCAGTTTAACAGCTTTCACAGAGGTTTATTTAAAGATCTTAAATTTGATTAAAACTGATTTGATTAAAAACTTAAATTTGATTTGGCGATTTGCCTATCTGTATGGCTGCTTCCCATCAGTTGTCATACTGATGACATTTCTTCCCTCCTGATTTCACAGTGGCTTCTTTCAAATCACTAATGAAATAGTACCAAAATAATTTTATTTATTTTACTGCAGGCCTTACCTAATATAAAAGTTCATCCTCATAATGTGACAGAAGCTGCTACATAATCCACAAAGGGCAACAAAGCAGCAAAACAAGTCTGTGGCAGAACACCAGAACAGAAGCAGGGGTCTCAATTTAGATAGCCAGGTTGGTGCTTTCTTTTAAGCAAAGGCAAGCATTAAAAAGGAAGTCTGAAGCTTTCACCAGATACAAAGGCTTCCTCTTGTACAAACTCAGGCCGAGCAGGCCCAGTTATATTCTGGACACAACAGAGTGCAGCATCTGCAGGGCAGAGCTGCCCCAGGCATGTGACATTGACACCCCGCCCAGCTCAGGAGACACACACTTTGTTGGTCTGTCATGAAGGTGAAATGTCTATGGACTGTTTTTTAAATGGAGTATTTCTTCCCCTTCTCCCAAATCCTTCTGATCCTCCTTGGAAGTGTTTGAAGCTTTAAATATTGGATGAGTAATTTTCCTTTAAGGTTTTTCTGCAGTCTTTCAGAAGCTTCTCTCATCTTTGAAGGGAAAGAAGGGTCAAAGAGTCCTCAAACTTTTAGGTGTCAAAGGCATGCTTCTCCACATTTCATGAGTGGAAGGAACAAGTCTTATTACCCCTGTATTTCCTAGTCCTTCCAAAACTGAGGCCTGCAAGGCTTTGTCCGCTTATGTCAGTCAATGGGCCACAGCCATAGAACAGTACATGGTGTCTGGCACAAAGGGGGTGATGCAGTTGTGGAAGAACATGATGGTGAGGACCAGGAGCCAGTAGGGAAGGGGAAGGTGCTGTATGTCCTGAATGTGCTGCAAAGATAAGATGTGCCCTCACTCTCCAGGAAAATAGCCCAGCTTCACACCAGTGTTACTTTCTGCAAGCCACTGAAGAGCACAAGAGATTTAAGAAGTGATGGCAGTTAAAAGGGAAGTAAAAGGCAGCTCATATACCTCTAAGTGAAATTTGAGATGTACTGACTCTAAAACATGCCTTCTGTAACACTATACAGTAAAAAAAAAAAAAAAAAAGCTTTCTTATTTTTGTAAAGGTTCTGGCTGCAAGAGACTGTTTTGAGCAGGCTTTGTTAAGAGTCCACTGCACATCCTTAAGTGAAACACAGCAGAAAGGTACAGTATAAACAGGAGTCAGAACACAACTACAGAAACCAGTTCAGAGTACTGTCATGAGAAGAAAGCCGTCTAATAGATCAAGGTGCATAAAAATTGCAGACTGAAGTTGCTTGTAATGCTTGTTCCTAGACAGAATGCAAGGAGGAATTGAAGTTAAGGGCTAGGAAGAGAACAGTACTGTCCAGATTAGCTAGTTCCTATTCTGGATCCTGTGAGCAAGAAGGCAGTTCAGAGGGAGGCTACCAGCTAGTTTTGTGCACAGAATGCTCCTCTGAGCTGCCTACAGTCAAAAAGTAACTGGCTCAGAAAGCTGCTGCCAGTCTGAGTACCACCTGAGCTCCCTGGAAGGCTCTAGGCAGGGAACTCTTGGCTGGTGGTTCACAGATGCAATCTTAGCACTGCTCTGCAAGGTTGACCCAAGGGGTGCGAATGCCCTCTCCTGGCCAAGACTGGCTCCTGTTGCTGCAGCCTTCCCTATGCTCCAGTGGCAATGCTCCTGCATCAGGGATTTCCAGGATAGAGATGGGGAAAAAAAACATGTACCACTTTTTTGGATTCTTGCTGGATAATGCCATCCAAGCCCAGCTACCCACTTTGTCAAGTACACTGACTGTAAGGGCTGAAACAAACCCCAGCACACAGAGCAGGCTCCCTGGGAAAAACAAAAGGTATTAGAAATTCCTGGGAGTGGAGAGCACTGAACGACAAAACCCACTGCATATAAAACGCCGAATTCTCCATGACTCCTAAGCCCAGATTCTCTTAAAACAGAATAGGACCCTTCACCTTGCACCACCCTGGCACAGTCCCTGAGCTCTGCCCACTGAGCTCCCATGGCTGCAGGCCAGTGAGGCTAAAGCCACCTGAGTCTCTCAGGCAGAGCTCAGCTGGCCTGTGGCTAGAATGCTCCTGATCTGCAGCAGAACTGTACAATAAACCCAAGATAAAAGCAAAGGGAAACCCAATATAAAAGCATTGGGAAACTTGCCTGGTCCCCAGAGCAGGGGAGGCATATCACGGCTGTACAGGAAGCCAGGCTGTACCTCTTCATTGGTGTGACCTGTTGCAGTTACCCCAGCAGTCTGGTCTGTGAGCACAGGCAGCTCCAGAGTAGTGAGTCTGTTTATTGCTGCCTACACCAAAGCAAGTTTTACAGTGGTCATCTGCTGCAGACATCCTTCTTAGAAGGAGTTCTGTACACTTTTTGTTTTCCAGAGAGCCAAAACAGCTTCTGAGATGAATGCACGCTTTGTCTGATGTATTGACCCCTTCGTGGGCTACAAAAGTCACTGTGCTATGCTTGTAAATGCTGCCTGAGCACAAAACTTAAATGTCAGACAGGATGTGATGCCCTATGCTCACCACAGCTTTTCTCTCTGAGAGCTGGAATCAGAGGACACTAATCAGTTTCAACTTCTGCAACAGATTAATCTCTTTTCAGTGGGTCATGGCTAATACTGCCTTGTTTTGTAAATAACACTTTTCTATAGTCACTGAAGCAAGCCTCCCTAACATCACCATTCCAGCAGACTACTCATATGCTGTATAACCCTTTCCTTCCACTTGAGACAGATCTTGTCTCACTGCACCAAAAAGAGGAGAGAAGCTCAAAACTTCTAAAGCCCTAGAACAGATTCACACTAAAAAATGTGCAATTCAGGTTCTTCTCCTCACAGTAATTTAAACATGTGGTTTCAATCAGCCATGTGCAAGGCATCTTCTGCTGGGACCAGGGCAGACACTGCTGCAGAATCAGCAGGTTCTGCTGGCCAAAGTACAGAATGACGAACACATTTCGTTCCTGTCTCTTTCACTCTGAAGTTTCTATTCCATGGGAGTTCTCCTATATTAAGTACTGACTATCTGTGACTGTAGATGCTAAAATATGCCAAGAAAACAAAGCTGTCAGGCTGACACTAAAGAATTAGAGTGCATTTTCTGGCATCAGTGCAGAAAACACCACTCATTGCATACAGAAAGCAACAGGAAAAACTGGAAGATCATGTGCCATTTCCTGCTTACCTCACTACTTCAGGTGCTTTTAATCATTGGACAAAACAAGCTGGCCTTGGTCTAGAAAACACTAAAGAAATTCACCTCCCTAGAGTGTCCACTGCATTCCAAACCTTGTCTCAAACTGCTGGGTGAAGAAGAAATTGAGAACACTCCCAAGATGGGAGAAAGACAAGAGTCAATCCAAATGCCAGTGCCAGCTCCTTCCCCTTGAACCAGAAAATTGTGATAACAATTCTGCACAACTTACAGAAGAGAAGAATCCTCTCTTGAACAGACAGGCTTGACCAAGAGCATGGCACAGAAACAACAGCTCTCAAGCTGGAGAGCTCAGGCTAGAAGCTGCTCCATGCATGCCAAGAGGAGGCATGTGCCAGAGAAGGTATATGCTAGCCTTACAGTCCATTTAAAAATGTACTAAATCATGCAGAGGCATGGGAGATGAACTTATTCATCCTCTAAGGCAAGCAAAAATAATTTCAAAGGCAGAGAAATCACATGTCAGTGCCCACCCTTGAGAGAAGGACAAACTTGTTAGAGGGGAAGACTTAAAACATTCCAGCACACATTAAATCAAGGAGCAGTGGTCTACCAACAACACAAGTCACTGGGGAAGAGCAGGTGAAGCCAACTGGTAGAACAAGGGTCCAGAAGGCAAAAGTGTATAATGATCCTTTTGTGAGATGTAAATTTGAAAATATGAAAATATGTAAATGTGAATTCCTTAGTACTAAGTGACCCATTCCCGGAACCAAAGAGCCATTAACATCACTGGGAGGAGGTATGGCAAGCCCTTGAAGCAAGCCCAAAGCAAAGATGGGTGATCCCAGCACAGTGAGAAAAGAAAGCAAAAACACCAACTAGGAATAAACAGAAAAAATGCACAAACCTCAAAAGACATGCTTAAGTCAAGACAAAGGCATTCTGTGTCGAAAAGAAAGAACAACCTCAAAACACACCAATAAACCTCATCAGTTTACTCTGTGCTTTCAATTTCTTGAAGACTTGTCTCTTTTTATAAAATGACTTGGCAGTCATCAAAATAATGATGCTGTTATCAATGGTGGGAGGTC